AAGAAGAAGAAGAAGAAGAAGAAGAAGAAGAAGAAGAAGAAGAAGAAGAAGAAGAAGAAGAAGAAGAAGAAGAACGACGCCAATATCCAGCATCTTGACCGAAAAAGCTTGTCCATAAATAATTTACTAGATAGAAAAAGAACACCATTTTCTTGAGGGACACAGCGGGTAAGCCCGCGAGGGCAACATAGCGCCATCTTGCCCGCTCGGGTAGACCATCACAGTACAGAATTGCTCGCTCGCGGAGCTATCCATATAATGAACATGACTGAAAATAATGGAAGTCAAAGCAAATATAAACTACTATAATAGTTTCAGCAGTGATGCCAGACAGTACAAATCATTATGAACTAAGAATTAGCTGAGATCCGTGCTGAAGACTGGAAACAGTAATGGCGATAGAAGAAGCTTGAAATCAAAATCAACGCGAATATATAACCACCACGTTAAACTAATCTGTTTTAGTAATGATTGCAAGGAGGGTCAAATCGCAAACAAATGTCAACGAAGAATGTGTAAGAAACAGACAAACAATCACGCGACATGAACCTTTGGAATCCTTCTGAGAAAGACTTATAACACGTTGTTTACATATTTAGGAATATAAACGGAGAAAAGGTGTTGCTAATTTTTCCAAAGTCAAAACCCTTTCGCGTTTCATCTTTTGAGAAGAGCTTTCTAAGATACTGTGGTTGTTTTTAACAATTCTGTAGGTTGTCGATAGCGTAAAATAAGCCATAAAAATCCATATACCCTGAAGGCTTATCTCATCTGATGTTATTTATAACGTTAAACAGAATAGATTTATCTTTACGCTCAACTAGTTTCAAACAAGAGGGCATTTCGATAACATTTAACAAGTCGAATCGTGTCATATTTGCATTTCTCCGTTATCCCCTCACCTGTTCGTGGTTTCTGATGAGTTAATTTTGTTTCCTTGGCTACTTTAGCTGAATTTTACTCATCAATTAATTCTGGCTTCTTTTAACTTACTAATTCATGCCAACTCGATGCCTTGGCATGTATATCAAGTTGTATTTTGTTAATTCTGTTAATTAAGTATTTTTGACCTCTTGAAACGAATAATTACTACAATAAAATTAAACTGAATGGATAGGAATGGCTTTGCTTCAGCTAAGAACTATTATTTCTTCAGGATCTTCTCGGTCTTGAACAAGTCTTGATCGAACTCTTTCCTCTCTATTCGCTCGTTTTCCAGATGAAGCAATGCTTGAAACATCGTCCATGCGGCTGGACTGCATCGATTGAATCACGCTGCCAGATTCCTCCGTGTTCGATGGAGTGAGACCATTCGCTGAAATCGCTGGCTGTTCAGGCTCGTTTTCGTGCACACAGCAATCAAAATTGACTTTGATGAAGTTTGTTACTATGAGCAATAAATTTTTAAACGCAAATACCGAAGCTCCAATTTTATACGTATAGTGAAGCACAAGACGGATTACCAGAAATGGAAGATTAACGGCAAGCGCTTGCACAAGTATATAGATTATATATATTCTCACTTGTGTTTTGCTTGTTTCGTCCTTGTTCTTCAGTGCCTCCCTAACGGGAATGGCAAAGCTAAATGTCAGCAGGACCAGGCTTAGGATGGCAAACGCACAAATACAATACTGTATATCGTTAGGTAAAACCTCGTTCTTTCTCGGGTCGATTATTGCGTCCAAGAGATTTATAATATCAAAGATGTCGATAAGAACGGGCCAGTTCAAATTCATGTACAGTTTAGGTTCAAAGTCTTCCGCGTCTAACAGCATGTACACTAGAAGTGTGGCAGACAAGGGATATGTCACAAAGCCATGATCTAGCCCAGGAGAATCCACGTCGATTTTGGATATCAACGTTCCCAGAATCCAACCAGAATGAATGCAAAGTGGTAAGATATACAGGAACCAGACACCGGCCGCTACCTCGCGCTGTCGATAGTTCATCTGTCCCTTAACCCAAAGAAGCATCGCTGGAATGTAGGCGAGCGTGAACGCTTGGAACGAATACTTGTCCTCGTAAGACACCAGATACTGATTGAACAACAAGATCTGAAGGAGCAAGACGGAGACGAAGAGGCATCTTCCAATCCACTTAAACAGCATGGGACGGCTGATTTTAAGTCTGATGCGTTTACACATAGTGTCGTGTTTGTATACGAAAGACTGTAGAGTTTGAGAAGATAAACAACCTATTGATTGTCCCAGGATTCCTTGCGCCATTCTTATGTAAATTCATAATTGATTAGTGGATCAGAAAGTTTGTTTCCAAATTAAGGGACTTCACTGACAAGTAAAAAGAAACACTTGGTATGGGATTAAAAAAGAAGTTTGATAGAAATTTTACGTTATCTGCAGCTGACTGGTTTAAAGCTAATTAATGAGCACTTCGTCTGGGCAAAAGACAAAGGATTAAAGGTGCCGCGGAGACCCACAGATAAATCTTCAGTGACAAACAGAACACCAAGACAGTTTATCAAGATAGAAAAGCAGCCAAGAGGAAATGATATCTCAAGATTAACAGTAACAAGAGTAGCTTTATAACTGGGATTGATTAGATGCATTGAGAACCATGAGAGCAGTTTGTTTTAACGATTCACATGTGCCACACAAATTTCGAATATCGAATTTTGTTATAGATTTTTGGAACGTTTGAAATTTGAGAAATTTTAATTGCTTGAAAACAAATCAAAACAGTTGAACTAATAAAACAGTATGGTGCAGCTATCTAAAAAAAAAGTCAACTTCGTCTCAGGATCTCTCTTCTTCCCACCCCGATCCGAAGAAAACATGACTTTTAACCCATGATACCATCATAGCTCCC